GTAAAAGTCACAGCTGTTACATGCTTTCAGTGCTACGGAGTGTTACGTTTGTTCTTCTGTTTTGTTTTACTTACTGAATTAGTGATGAATTGCCCTCGTAAATTAATCATACATCCGTTATTGCCTAATTTCACACATGATCCGCGATGATGAAGACACAGAAAAATATTTAAAAATCTGTTTAAAAAAGTTTACAATTTTTCGAGAATTGCCCTCGCAGCGGAACCTTCCGCTTTATGTTTTCCACCCGGACCGCAGCAGCAGGAGCACCAGTGTACAAAATGTAAACAAACGCGGGAAGCTCGAGCTCGAACAACTTTATTAGAGAAGTGTGCAGCATCTTAGTATGAGCCATGGCGGACGTTTTAAACATGGTTTTTAGGACTTTTATGTCTCAAACGGGTCTCAGGAAGCAGCCGCCGGTCAGTCCTCCGCCTCCGGCCGCCGGCAGCAGCCTCCTGCTCGGGGACCGGAGCCTCAGCCGCTCCGTGCTGCTGCTGGCGGCCGTGACAGCGGCCTCGGAGCTCGGCATGAGAGTGATGTTCTTCACGCAGACGCAGATCCAGAGTCTCCCGGTGTCTCTGCAGAGATGTTTCCCCAACCTGAGTCCAGAGAGCCTGAAGGTACAGGTCTCGTTATCAGTCGCTTTAAAGCTGAAACTAATGAAAAACATCGAATTAGCTGCGAATTAACATGTTACTGATGCTTCATACAGCTGAGAAGTTGAAGCACTTTTGAAAACATAATTTTGTGAAATATTCTGTCCCATTCCAACAGTTTATAGCTGAAGGTTGTCGTGTTGTTTTATTAACTATTCAGACACATTTACAATTGCATACATGAGTTATAGTTCAAAAAATAATTGGCTTTTTTTAATCATTTGGTAGCCAGGATATAAGAAAACATAATAATAATAATGAGAAATTAATTCATTCTTTATTCACATGTAACTGTAGAATAGATGGTTTATTCTCCTTCATTAATGATTATTAAGATTATCAACATTCACAACTATAACAAGACATATCGCTCTTTTTTTCTCTCAAGTTGTTTACGAGACAAAACTAAAGCCAGTAACCCAGAAGGTAAATTAACAACAGCAAGGCCAATATACGTCTGGTCTGGTGCGGTTTGGATATCGTCCAGGGGGCCTGACAAGTCCAGTGTGGGCCCTTAGGGAAGATCCTTAATGCTCATCAAGTCTACCTCAGATATGAGTGGAATACCGGCCCAGATGTCTCCTGGGTTAACAGCGTCCACATCAGGTGTTTGGGCAATCAGGGCAGCCTGGTTGGGCTACTGGAGCAAGACATTCATGGAACAGCTGGAATGCTTGGAGAGCTCCTCACAATGCATGGAGGGTTTCACCTCCAAGTCCAGCCTCCTGAGACTGGACACAAAGCAGGAGGAGGGAGGCCGAGGACCAATGAGCGTCAGATCCAGGATGAAAAAAGATCCAGGGATACATCAGGAAGATGGTCACCTGTGATGACCTGCTACGTCAATACCTCAGGCAGCAGAATAATGAAGAGGAGGAAGAAGGAAAAGCTCCTGCATGGCTGCATGTACCACCAACAGATAGAAGACGTGGCTGATATCAAGAAAACTTACCAGTGGCTGGAAAAAGCTGCTCTGACAGACAGCACAGAGAAGTGGTACATAAGTAACACTGACTTGACTTGAATTTATTTTCTGGCAGTTGACTAACTGATTCTTGGGCTAGTTGGTGAATTAATATGATACCATGTCAGAGTTTTTAATCACAGTGTGTCCGATGAAATCACATTAAACAGAAAACAGTTCAGCAGCAGCTGTAGTTGAATCGTTCATAAAGCTTCTGTGGGTGTGTCAAAACAGTTCAAGATATATCAGCTGCTAATCTAATCAGCTGTTTTTGTAAATTTTCCAATCTGGTATCAACTTCTCTGATATAAAAACGCACCACCTCTGTATTTAACCGTTCTATTGGATAATAAGTGTGTCCTTTGTGGTTCCTTCACTGAGCTCCAGTGACGTGATGAGCAGCTGCCTTGACTCACTCGGCTTTTTTCTCTCATTTGCTTTTTTCTTCTCCAAGAAAATCAAGTTCTCCTACCCCCGGACACTGGACGAGCTCCTCCAGCAGGTGGCCAGTCTTCATGAGTCCACCAACATGCCTCCCACACCCCCGTCTCTCATCATAGTGGACCGACTGGAGGGCTTCCTGTGCGGCGCTGGAGGCAGCAGCAGCAGCCACAGTGGGTCTCACCCAGCAGAGCTGTCCAGTGCTGCACACCTGTCGGCGCTGCTGTGCGACACTGCTGCCTTTCTCACGCAAGTCCTGGAGCAACGAGGGTCGAGCTCGGGCCCCTGCCGCCTCATCGCCTCTTTTCTGTCAGAAGCGGACACTGGGCGGGCCAGCAGGGATCCGTCTGGCGCGGATCCCATCCTCAGCGTCCTCGACCGCTACTTCCAGGTACGCTGCACTCTGGACCGAGACGAAGGCTACGAAGCCACGGCAGCTGGAGTGCAGGAGGTGTGGCACATTTATCTTTCCGGGAGAGGAATGGCAGAGGCCTCGTTCGCCAAAGACAGTGAGGACAAGCCGGGTGTAGCCCAGGAGTGGCAGCTCTTCGTTTTTCCTGATGGTTTGATGGAGTTTAAGTTGGTTTAAGTTGCCTCAAAGACTTTAACAGAAGGCGATGAAGGAAAGCAGCCAGGACTCCTGTGTTGCAAAACTGTGAGATAAAACCAAACTTTTACAGATTCTTATTGCTTTCTTTGTGATACAGAAGACTGTAATCTGCTCTTCAGCCTCTCAGATGTCAGTTTAAAGGTTTGTCAAACCCATGAATCGACTGACACTAAGAAATCTGATTGTCCTAAACTCAACATTTCTGACTCAGGACCATTTAACACACAACAACGTCTCCTTGTGTCCGCCCTCAAAGGGAAAACAAGTAAACAAAAAGCCTGAGAAATACACTGTGCATTAAAATAAACATATTTTGTATATTATATTTATGTTTTATTCCCTTAAACATCATATGTGAAACATTAGAGTTCAGTGGCTGATATCACAGTTAAAGTAATTTACAAATGTCCAGATAACAAAGATAAGTTTTCTGCAAACAAAAGACATGAAAAGACATTTTACTCTATTTTTAAGTCTATATTTTTTCTGTATTTAAGTATGAGGAAAGACACAATATCAGACTTTATCTTAAAATATATATTTCTTAGTAAGAAAAAAAAAAGCTATTGTGAAAAAGAAAAATACAAGACAGCCAGTTGGTTGTCAGTGTCGAGTGATAAACCTTTGTCTCCCTGCTTTGTCACACTATATTACAACTTTTTCTATCAAAAACAGAAATGAACAATCTTTACAAATGTACTTACATACTTTCAGTACCAATTTATTTACAAGATATTTTTCCCTCAAAGCAAACAAGCATAAAAAAGGTACGGAAATTCGTTGAGTTCATGAATTTAAATGCGTTGAATCGTGCTCTGTAGATGTTAAAAAACTAGAGTCACCAGAGAACAAATATTACCTTCAAACTATCCTGCAGCGCCTACAGTAGTCGTTATTTGATCCACCCCAGAATTGTGTGTTTGGGAAATGACGACAGCTTACTGGTCTATGATTAAACATTAAAAAACAAGACTTTATATATACAAATACAGTGAGTTTCAGATTTGGATATGACACTGATGTAATGACTACGGAGGGGAAGTGAAATTTGAGAGTGTTTTAAATGGTAATAGTTGTTATCATCAACAAATCCAATGAGAACACAAACAACCAACAGTTAGTTCTTCTGACTATGAAGACTTTCAACCATAAGCCCACTGATGTTGTTGACAAAGGAGTGTCAAATATATAGTTGATTTTTTTTAAAAGACATGAAGCACTGTAGTTTTTAGTGAATATTATTAAAACATAAGTCAGTAGTACGTTTGCTGGGGTCTATTTTTTGTTGCAAATTGATACAGATTTGGTGCTCGACTGAAAATGCATCACTTTGATCCAGACTAAAGAATCTCAAAAGAACTTTTTGAAGCAAAATCAGTTAAATTTTTGACTTGTTTAGTACTGTAGCTGTACGACCAGATACCTTCAAACTGATGACATCCTCATTAGATCAGCTGTAACTTGGGTTTAGCGCCAATAACCAAGTGTTAGTGTACATATACTTGTGGATTAATCGTAGCAACTGGACTTGCTTGAGTTCCTTGAAGACGTTTCAGCTCTCATGCAAGAGGCTTCATCAGTTCTGACTGACTAGTTTGGAGTTCCAGATACTTATACCCTTAAAGAGCCATCCTTTAGGACTTGTATCCTTAAGGAGCCACCCATAAGCGTATGCCACCAAGGAATAACTACCAACTAGTCAGTCAGAACTGATGAAGCTTCTTGGATGAGAGGTGGAACGTCTTCAAGGAACTCAAGCAAGTCCAGTTGCTATGATTAATCTACCAGAATAACCACGACCTGGAGGACTGAGAATCTTCACCGACATCTAGCATGTTAGCATGCTAACGTAGCTACATCAATACTGCTAGCAGAGCTGTATGCTTTTATTCTTGTCGGACAAAAATAGAAGCGTATGCCACCGAGGAAGAAGCTACGAATCGACTACTCTCAGCGGTGGAATGTAACTCAGTACATTTACTGAAGTACTGTACTTGAGTATTTCTATTTGCTGCTACTTTCTACTTCTTCTCTTCTGTATTTTGCTTTTTTCACCATACAACATTTATTTGACAACTTACACTACTTTGGTGATTCATATTATTAACTTGAAAGACAAATCAACTAATAAAATGTTCTTGTTAATATAGATTAAGCTACTCAGAAGTATGTACAGTAATTACAATGAGTCACACAGAAGATAAACACATTATTGCATCAACAGTTATAATCCAGCGATATGTTATATTATTCTGAAATGGGCCATACAGACTTTCATGTATATTTCTGATCTGTTAAAGTATATTTTTAGCAATTTCGCATTTAAGTAAGGGCTTGAATGCAGGACTTTTACACTCTAGTATTGCAAATTTTTATTATTATTATTTTTTAAACAGAAGATTCCTCGACCACAGCAGGCTTTGGATACACTGGTGCTTAAAAAGATCAAATCATTGTTGGTTTGTTGGTTGAATGAGATTTGTTGACAATAACAAAAATCTAAAATATCACCAGCCACAAACTAGAGGAACAGCAACAGAGCGTTTTTGTTAACAGTCTTCATTTCAGGGTGTCTGACCTCGTAGCCATTCTGTCATTTAAACTTAAAATACACTTCGATCAAATATGAATACATCACTGTGGAAACACAACTTGTATTGTAAATTCCTGATGGGGTTTGCAAGGTACGATATCAACGCATCGGCATGCAAACCTTTGCAGTATTTGGTGTAAATCCCAGCTGCCATTTCGGTGTCGTGGTAGTGTCCTGTACAGATCAGATACATCCAGTGGATCCTTTAGCTTTCACTTTGGTACCTGTCAGCTCCTTGGCTCCTTTCTTAACAGTTGATGAAGGCCTACGCCGCCTTGGGTGAATATCCAGATAGCCTTCACGGAGCCTGCTTTTAGAGTCAGTCCATCTACAGCCCGTCCAGCTCAGCCCTCATCGTGGACAGGGTACTGCCTCGACAGGAAAGGTCTTCTGTGAGCTGGGATCTCATTCTTGTACTCGTTGGCGTAGATAACCACCTTCCCGATGTCGTCGGCTCTGCTCATGGGGCTGTAATCCATAGAGACCCCAGAGTCTGCCACCGCCATGTAGGTGTACAAAGGGCCTTTTGCCGTCCAGGCCTGGTTTGGGTACTCAAAGCTGGACTGTGACGAAAGGCGACCCGAGCCGGAGCTCTGCTGCACGGAGCCCAGGTCAGAGTGAGACTCGCACAACACCGTCTTTCTGGACGCAAACAGCACCTCGAGGGGTACGGCTTCCTCGAAGGTGTCATCCAGGAGGCCGTCTTCACCCTGGTTGTTGGTGCTGAGGGTGACGTAGGCGTCCTGAGACTCCAGCAGGGACAACTGGGAGCGGGGGACCTGGTGCTGGTGGTGCGCCCGTAAGCGCTCCATCAGCCAGTGGTCATGTGGCGTGGGTCTCCACCCATCTGTCGGAGCTGAGTCGCCCCTTTCCAACGGCTCTCTCTCATCTAACTCTGTCTTCACGTCCTCCTTTCTCACAGCGCTCAAAGCTCTGGAGGCCTTGGGTGGCAGAGGAGGGGAGGCCATTGAGGGACAAAGGCTGAGTTCTGAGAGGACCTCCAGAGGAGAGGGGCATTCTTCTGAGTAGATTAGAGCTGGAGTCAACCACAAGCCTCCATTGGTCTGCCCCAACCACTCCTGTAAGAAACACGAGGGAAGGTTATGAAAGCTTTGTCGTTAGCACGGTTGTGTTAGCATTTAAAGCTGCCATGTGCTCAACTAAAGCCCCACAGAGGAGGTTCTTACCCGAAAGTCCCCACCATAAACGGTAAAAAGCCCTTGGAATTTGCTGTCAGGAGTTGGAATAGTCGGCCAAATCTTCTTAATGAGAAACCTGAAATGGGAACAGAAGCTGAAAATGTCGTTCTGGATTTCCTTCTAGTAGTACAACATTGTTCGGTGGCTCAAAAAACAAGCCGCTGACCTGTGATGAGACAGGAGCATAGTAAGGCACAGCAGAATGAAGATGAAGGAGATGATGAGGGTCAGGGACATGATGAGCGGGTCAAGTTCTGGAGGACGCAGACAGTTTAGTGTTAACACGCTTACGAAGAGATTTCCATGCTGCTGGAAACATGTGGCTCATTTTCTACCTGACGGCAGGGTCTCCATGAACACCGGGTCACTCCAGGCGCTCCAGTACCCGTTGTAGCTCATCCCGTCCAGCTTCACCCGGACCTGCACCTTGTACTTTGTACCCGACTGCAGACCTCTCAGGATCAGTTCTGAGGAGGCTCGTGCCACCTCCACCTGCAAAACAGCCCTTAACTCATCAGTGCAAGTCCATGTGTCGCCCTACCAGACCAACCTTCTACTCAACCTTTATCGGTACTTAAATAACCCCATACCTGCCCAACGTGGCGGTCCACGGGAGCGTAGATGACCTCGTACATCATGCTGTCCTCCATGTACTTCAGCGGAGGAGGCACCCAGCCGACACTCAGCTGGCCCTGCTGACCGGTGCTGCTCACCGTCACATTTCCAGGAGGATCCAGAAGAACTGCCGTACAGACAGATGAAGGGGTGACGGTTAGGGAGGATTTGGAGGGAAACTTGTTGCCCCTACAAAGAGTCTTTTAAACTGTGGTAACCTGCTCCTACAACTGTGGAGATACCCGATTGATTCTAGCATTATTCCAGCCTACGACAAGTGAATCTGTTGCATGTTTGGGGCTGCAGAAACAAACCGAAAAATTCATATAGCAAACTTTTTCGCAACTTTAGTAGAAACACATTACGGCTGGAACTAACAATTATTCCCGTTGTCAATGCATTTCTCAAAGAATTGATTAATGTTTTTGTCTATAAAATGTCAGAAAAGGATGACACACGTCTGTCAGTGCTGGATGCCAACATATATCTTGTTTGTCCACAACCCAAAGAAGTTCAGTTGAGGGGGGAGGGGCCATAACAACTGTCACAGTGGAGGGAAGAAGCCTGAAAATATTTACATTGAAATAGCTGGAATCAGAGAATTTAGATGTTTTTTTCTTTGAAAGCTACTTAAAACAGATTAATTGATTATCAAAATAGTTGGCAGCTAATTTAACACTTGACAACGAATCAAGAAATCTTTGCAGCTTTAATGCACAGCACCATTAGTGTTCACTGGAGTTGTGTCTATTTGATGAATGTAAATTGTGTATTAAAGCTCCTTTTGCTTTGTTTTGCTTTCCACAAACTCCTGACAACTGACTGCATGCTGGTCAGAGTTGGACAAGTTGCATAAAGCTGTTTTTTAAACATTAAAACAGTTTGCTGCTGAGGCCGAAAACAACCCTGAAACATCAAACTTATAAACCGTAAAACCAAAACAAAGAGCTGAAAGACGCTGTGATGCTTCTGATGTGGACCAGAGTCGTCTAATTAACGTAAGAACAAATTGGAAATCTAGATGCAGTGAACAGAAATGTAATTCAGGACCTAAAATACACTGAAGGCAGTTTGCAGCCGGATCACTTACAGACAAGCTCGATGAAAAGGCTGCGGTTGTGGATCAGCATTTCCTCCCGATGAACTTGGATGTCCATCTGGACGAACATCTGGGTTCGGTTCAGGTGGCAGACGAAGAGCCTCTTCCCGCCTGCTGCAGGGACGATCCTGAGCGGACACCTGCTGCTGTTTTCATTCCTGCTTGGGACAGACGAGGACAGAAACACTGAGGGTGCAGGACGTTGCTGTTCTTATTCCATCTACACACTAGTTTGTCTATTTTTTAACATTAGGCACCTAAAAAATTCTGGGAAAAAAGTGCTTCAAGCCTTAAAGTAGTTCTCCACCCATCCTGTCTACTGATGAATGTGACTCACTGGTAGTTGTAGGTGAAGGAGTACTGATCCAAAGAACCGGCTCTCTCCTCATCTTCCTCCCAGAAACACGTGAAGTCCTTCCTGCCTCCAGCAAAGCACTTGGGGTTTTCTGGCTCCTCTTGCAGCAGCTTGGAGGCTGAGGAGGGGGAACGTGGACATCATGACCACTCTAAAGCATTCAGCCAAACTGGAAGAAACAGTCAAATACTGCAAAGTGCCCAGGAAAGGAGCATCCTACCTTTCTTTTCGAAATCTCGCGCGCCTTGGACCATGGAAGCTGTTTGCGCGGCGCAGAATATCACAAGCAGTGCCAACAGTCGGCTCAGGTGATCACATGTCATCCTTCTGTCGTGTCCGTGAACAGAAAGACTCGGGGCCTCTGATGTCCACCTGCATCCCTGGAGAACAACCTGCCACTAACGCGTCCGCCGCAGCTCTTTCTGGGGGGTAAAGCTTGTTTTTGGTTTTTTAGATAGCCCGGCGTGGATGGCGCAACCGCGGGTAAGCGCCTGCTCAGGAGCGATAAGGTGTGCGTAAGGTCGAGCTGTTTACTTTGTCCCCAAGTGAGCGACGAAGAGGTGGGGCAACAACGTCCTACAGAACTTTTTTTTTACTCGCTTGGTGATGTGTGGAGGATCACGAGGTCATTGATATTTACGGCTTGTTTACGGTGGCTGAGAAAGTGAGCCATTTGGACGTGCGTAAAAGCGCGCACATGATGC